AAAAAAAAAAAAGGAAAAAATTGATTCGATTTGTTTCCAGGAAACGTTAAAAATTTTTAAGGATCTGTTCTGTTCTGGAAGAAGTTAAAATTAGAAGAAAGATCGACTCGAAGTTTGCAGCGATCACCGAAGCGTGGCGCCGTTCGCGGAAATATGGGGAAATCGAGGCGGGATTGCTAGGAATCCGGATAACGAAGTAAATGGCGGTGTAGTCGGCGCGAAGTTGGAAACTTGCAATGAGGGGGGGAGGTGGAGGGGGCTAGTTTCTTGTTACGTGCCGGTGGATTTGCCGAATCGAATATTAGGCAAAGTTAGACGTTCCTCCTGTCCTGGAGTAATGATTATTGGATTAAAGCTAGACGTATAATTTGATATGACGTGTTTCTGGCTTTCCTTGGATTCCGATCTCTCTTGGAATTGGATTCCAAGTGAAATCGATCCCGATTTCCCATTAGAAATTACAATCCTGGGAATATTATTAATCGGATCATTTCGAATCGTAATTTTGGATACCGTTCGATCCTTTTTTCCCTCCCCTTTAATTCCATTCCTATTCGTCAAACTATTCCCCTTAAAACTTCAGAAACTCGCGACCAAGATTTACTTCTCGTTCCGCCAAAAAGTTTCCACCTTGCGCCATCGCTTCTTAACGATCATTAAAATCAATTCAACCGTAATCTAAAATTCCACTTCTCGATTCCAAAGATTGGAACAGTGGTTCCAGTAATTAGAGATAATTGCGAGTAGTTTCTCGAGGATTCGTAACCCTTTCGATTTCGATCCTTTCGTTCCTTTCTCCCTCTCCCGTAAGAGAGAAGGGGTTGAAAGGACAGGATTATTTTTCATCGAGGCAGGGAAAATTTTCGGTTAGAAAATCGCGTAACGCGATTGATATGGGACACCTGGCTAGTGTTAGGAAGAGAAAGCCGGCCGTCCGGCCAACTCAATTTCGAAACGCAATTTCCGTTCCAGTTTCTCGTTCTTCGTCGCCTCTACGAATGGGACAATGGGAAACCGGGTATCGGTTCCCGGTGAAATAATTAAACGTATAGAGAGAAAGGGAGAGATGATTGTTTCTTTTGGTAGGAATTTTTTTTCACCACAAACAAATTGGCTCGCTTTTTTCGCTGTAGCAACAATTCGAAACTACTTCCTTGTCTTGCAAAACGTAACGAGGCTTCGTCTTCGAGATTAGATAGAGAGATTAGAGGTTTTATAGAAATTCTCTTTCATTCTCACACATACGTATATAGTAGGACGTTTCCTGTTAGGATTAATCTGTTATAGAATTTAAAGCTCATTGAAATTTTATAATGTTGCCAGCAACATTCATAATTGGTAGCTATTTGTTTTTCTTCGATACTTTATTTCGAATGTTTTGCGAACAGATACGCGAAATCACGTATAATAATTAAATATACTCATTCAGTTAAACCCGTAAATTTTTTATTTATTGTTTTCACTGCTACGATCGAATCGAAATTAAACGCTATCGTACGAAATGTAAGGAAAAGTTGGCTCGGCTGCTCCAAAACGCGACGATCGATGGAAAGAGAGAATTGACGTGTTTCAGAGATCCGAACGGAGCGAGCCCCCTCACATCGGGATCGGACGGGCTCCCTACCAGCCCTCCGTTCTGGGATTCGTACGACTCGATAAATCAGCTCTACCTGGAGGCCGGTCGCAGCACGGAGATGCGGTCGCATTACAGGGGCCACAAGATGTCCCTGTGGTTGAACCTGTTGCCGCAGCTCCATCGACCGGGCTACGAGATCAGCATGCGTCACCATCACCTCGCCGAAACCGCGACCCTCTACGAAGGCGTGGTGCGCCCCCAGACCTTGGCGCAACCGTTGCCGCCGCCTCCGCTTCCGGTTCCCTCGCCCACCGAGCCATCCTCCATCTCG